ATGGCTTTTTCTTTAAGTCCTCTTTTCATTTGTAAAGCTCTTTGTAAAACCTCTTTATCATATACAGGATTGAAGTTATCCCTATTAAGTACATCTGTGTACTTAACATCAATTGGAAGACAGTGTTGTCAGTTATACATAAGGTAAAATGGTGAATACCCCATTGAATTGTGCACTTTAACACGTAAAGCAAAAAGGATTCCATTTAAAACTGAGGCCCAACTTTTAATATTTTCATTTAAGACCTTAATAGTTTTTTTCTTAATTGTCTGATTTTGTCTCTACACTAGGCCATTGGCTTGTGGATGGTTAGCAGAGATTATACATTGTTAAACGCCTGTTATATCATGTAGTGCAATGGATACTGAATTTACAAATTCACGACCTCGGTCAAAAGTGGCTAGCTAATGCAACAGCTTTCTTCCTGATTTATTACCACAATCACCTAAAATTATTAAATAACTTTTTATTAAGATAAAAAAATATTTTTATGAAATTTTTACATTATTTTAAGTTGTTTTAAAGCTATAAATTTTCCAATTTTTAAATTTAAAAATTTTGTGTTAATTCATAATAAAGCACAAGACAGAATACTGTTTAATTACTTTATTTTACTTAAGTAAAACCTTTTAAATTAAATAAAAACTTTTTTCAATAAAATAAGTTTTTCAACCTTGCCAATACCTTTTTTGCAATACATCAACTTATTATCAACAATAACAAAGTTTTTACACTGCAGTTTAAAATTTGCTTTTTTTTCCTTCCTCATTCACATCTTTAGGAAAAGTGTTGTCATTTAAATATTTCCTGACATCAATCAAGTTAATTTTTTTGTACATCTTGACAAAATAAGCTATATAAACTGTAAACTAAAAAGCCAGTTAAATTATAACGAGTGAAGTAAAATTTTAACGTCAAAATATTACTGCCTCAGTATTATTTTATTTTACTGCAAAAGAAATTTGAACGGTTGGAAACCTCCGTGCCCTAAAATTTTAACGCAGTAATTTAAAAACGTTTTAACAGCTAAATAAAATGAATTATAAATGCATTACACATAATGTTTTTTTTTGCTGCCCATATATGTATTTTTTGCAAAACCATTGATTTTGCAATATCGTCAAGATTTCCAAAAAAAAAGCATTAAGTATATTTTGAAGTTTTTATATAAATACAAAAAAACCGAAATATGCTTTATGCTTTTTTCTCAGGAAATCTTAGTGATGCAAAAATTAAATTCAATGGTACAATTGAATTCAGCATACCAAAATTATGTAAGAAATGTTTTTATTACATAATTTTAGTATGCTGAGTTCTATTGTACCTTTGAATTCAATTTTTAAATATAAAATACCGTCTTAAATTATTCAATCTAGAACACCATGTTAATGTAATCAATCTAGAATACCATGTTAATATAATATCACCATGTTTCAACATTTTTGTTTACATAAATTTTATAGTTATAAAACAAAAATGTTGTATCATGGTGTTATTACTTTAATATGGTATTCTAGAGTTTGTTTTTTCTAAATAAAAATTTAAAATTTACCCCGAGTAGTTTACAATATTTTAACTATATTGACAATACTGTATCAATGTTGTTTGCAACACAGGAAGAGAACTTTTTTGTTTGCCCAAATCACTATGCATATGTCAAAGTTGGCATAAATTTATCGCAGTGTAACACAGGGTCTAATCAACCTTTTCCCTTGAAGAAACAAAGTAAAACATAAAAAACTAAAATTTAACACATCAAAGGAATTTTTATTGTACTTTTTTCTATTTTCATAGTTTTACGTATTTTTTTTTTTAATAAAACTTTATAAGAATTTATCTTTTTTAGAAAAAAAACTTTTAGAACTACTCTTGTAACTCTCATATTAAAAAAGTTAAACATATTTAATTTTTTTTTTCAGATTCAATAATTGTTCCAGAGATAAATAGTACCTCAACTAAAACAACTTTAAATGCGTTTTATGAATTTTCAGATTCAATATTTGTCCCAGAGATAAATAGTACATCAACTAAAACAACTTTAAATGCTTTTTATGATGAATTTTCAGTATCTATTGTTATCTTATCAAATGGAAATTCAGCAACATCTGTCTTATCTATGTTTGATGAATATAATAATAATCATATTTTTGGATTTATTGTTATTGACCAACTTTTGGGCTTTATAGTATATAATAATGAAATTGATTATCATATTGATGTAGCAGCTAATCCATGGATTTCAATTGTACTTTCTCAAAATTTCATAAGCCATACCAATAATTATAACATAACTATTTTTGTTAATGGAACTCTTCAATATTCTAATCAAATTACTAAACCAATGGTATTCACTAATGTTTCTTTGTATACTTTTCCTAATTGTGCATATGATGTAACTTGTAATTATGGATCAATTAAGAATTTATCAATTTACAGTAAAACACAAGGTAAATAAAACTAAATATTTTTTTTATATCATAAAAAAGTTACTATATGTATATTTATGTTCTGTCTGAACCTCTGACACGGTGTTTACTCACCCGTCAGTTACTAACTGTATGTATATGTATTTTGTTCTGCTATCAGGTGGTAGCTCTATAAATAAATGATGAAATGATGATTTTTTGGAACTTTTTTATTTATTAAAACAGTACCTTGTATACTACTATTTTCATTCCCCAAAAAAATTAATCACCTAACATACCTTTATTGTCAGTTTTGATAACTTTTTAGGCTATCCATTTTTGAAAATTTACATAGCAACGTCTTTAGTTACCGTTCAAAATGATTATGGTCTAATATAATTCCTTCAAGTAGTTCATTTAACTATTTTTTTGTCAGACAAAAAATCCACTTTGCTCTACTCAAAAGTAGTTCTAAAAAGTATACTTTAAAACTACAAAAACGTGTGGGAAAGTTACATCGTAAGTCACACTTATATAGTTTCATATATATGTTTACTATTTTGTTTGTTGCATCCTAAATGTATTTATGTTTTTAGTAGTATATGAATATGTGATATATATATATATATATATATGAATATGTGATATATATATATATATATATATATATATATATATATATATATGTGATATATATATATATATATATTATATATGTGATATATATATATATATATATATATATATATATATATATATATATATATATATATATAATATATATATATATATATATATGAATATGTGATATATATATATATATATATATATATATATATATATATATATATATATATATATATATATATATATATATATATATATATATATATATATATATATATATATATATATATATATATATATATATATATATATATATATATATATATATATATATATATATATATATATATATATATTATGTATATATATATATATATATATATATATATATATATATATATATATATATATATATATATATATATATATATATATATATATGTATATATATATATATATATATATATATATATACATATATATATATTTTATATAATATATGTTATAATAATTTTTAGATTTTAAATAATAGTAATAGAATGCCAAATAAACAAAATTCCATAATTAAAAAAAAGAGAAAGTGGAATGGCATGATTGCAAATAAAAAAAATATTGAGGATTCATCGGTTCTTGGTACTTGTTCAAGTGAAATGAAATTAAATATGAATAATGAAATGTCTGCATCTGCAGTAACAAATCATTTTGATAATGACTTTTTTATGTAGGTACATTTTGAAATGCTTAAAAATATGTTTTATGAATTGATTGAGCATTTTGAAATGCGATCAATTATGCTGATTTTATGACACTTTTTCCCCCAATATGGATAAACCAAAAGTAATTTTTTTTTTTTAATTATCCTAGTTATCTCTAATAAACACTTAAATATGTTAGATTTCTTTTTATTTCTCAAAATAACCTTTTTTATAGGGCTACCACCTTAATCTCTGGTGTAGTATTAGCTTAGTAAACAAAATATGGCTACAACTATATAATATGAATTCAGCATGTGGCTACAACTATATAACATGAAATCAACATGTGGCTACGAAAACATGTGGCTCCAACTTTATATTATAAATTCAGCATAATTTTTCAGCATTTCTTTAGATGTAACGTTTTTCTTAATACATATCCCAAAGCCCCCATTTAACTTTTTAAAGTAATGCTTACAGAAGTAACATCTTTTAACTACTCCAGGTTAGGTCAGGTGCAGGATCATCGCAATCACCAAGCTATTGGTAACATGTAACCCAGTAATACCTTTAAAGTCCTGCTGCCTTGTAAGATTTGCTTTTCTTGGCAAAAGTTAGGAGAAACAAACTTTGACTTGAATTTCACAAACTACTTTTAGATGCTTAACTATAAATTTTGATTGAGTAATAAAAATTAATTTTTTTGGCTTTAAGAACATAAAAACACTTTGCACAATACCTAATTTGTTGCAAGTCATTTTCATTAGCAGCTTTGTATATTAATGTTTCTGTGACATGCACATACAAAAGGAGCAAAGCACATAATTATGTGATTTTAGGTAATTGTCTAAAAAGGGTTATGTTGTTTCATTTATAAAAAAGTTTACAATCAGAACCACAGAAAGCCATCAAAGCAATTTAACATTTTGGATATGGTTTAAAAAGTAGTAGTTTTGAAATCAGGTTTAATTTTATATTTAGATATTGTTCTTCTTGTGAAGAAGTTTAAACAATTTACTTTGATGTTTTTAAATAGAAAATTTTCCTCTATGGAAACAATATCTGAATATATACTAACTCAAGATTTTGCTCCTTATAAAAAAAAAGTTCTAGTGGAAGAATTTAACAAGCAGTAAATGTCTTTTTGATGAACCTAACAATAAAGTTTCAAAGAACAGTCGAATAGGCAATACTTCTGCAGTATTGGAATGAAGAGAGTAATACACTTTGTACAAGGTTTTATACTGCTGCTCCAAAAATTCTAAATATTTTGAAATCGTGCATGACTGGTTTAAATAACGAAAAATGCTTCAGGTATTTGAAAGTCTTTGGAATCACCAAAATTTGTAATACCAAAATATAAGGATAAATATAAAAATAAAAAAAAATTAAAACTTAAATTTTGTAATGTACTTTAATACACATTTTTTGAAAGAAGGTTATAAATAAATTATCCAAAAAAAGCGCTTTTCAAAAACAATACTTTTAAACAATGTCAATGATTGGTTAGCTGGAAGTTGTACATGCATGATCAGGGCCTCCAAGAGCTTTTATGATATCCTAATCATAGTAGCAATTAGGCACCTCTAAAGACATGCATTTACAAGTTAATGACTGAGTTTTTATTTCTATTACTATTAATTTACATCCATTTTTTAAATAAAATCTCAATCTTATCTGGATTAAATAACACTTTTTATCTGGATTAAATAACACTTTTTATCTGGATTAAATAACACTTTTTTTAAATAACACTTTTGCAACACAATCACTGATTAGGATTATTTAATAGATTCTTTAAAATTATTATTGAAAATAATCCTTTTTTACTTTTTTTCTAAAATAAACTGTTATTATTACTATGTCATCTTACAACAAAGTTATATCTAATTCATTTTGTCTAATAGACATTTATAAATTTCTTGCTTTATAGTGGCTCTACAATCATTTTTTAAAATTAATTTTAGTTTTTGTAAAGGTCGTTCACCTTCTGCAACAGGTACTGGCGTTAAGTTAAAATTTTTTTATTAGAATGTTTTAGATTAAAAAATAGGCTTTAGACCCTTTGAATATATTCGGTTAAGAAATCCTAAAGTGTTTCCAGAAGGGAAAAATGAAGACTACTTCAAACTATAAAGATGCAAAATATCTTCCATAAAATTGTCTTGTATCTCAAGCTTTAAATTTTACAGGTTCTTGATCTTTTAACCAGAGAATCTTAATGAAACAGTTTTTAAAATCTCAATTTCATATTGAATTTGTTGAATGAAATGAAAAAGCGCAACATTAGAAGTATTCACTTCAAACTTATGTTTGGAGAACTCATGGAAAAAAACCGTAACACCAAGCGTTCATATGCTGACAATTGATATGTTGATAATTGAATTGACATAAAAATACTTTCAAAGTAAAGTAAACATAAAAATGCTTACTGTGAGTACATCAATTTCATGCTGCGCTAATTTATTCCAGCGGTTTGCAACACGGTTTTTAAAAAATTGCTAACATTATGGCAACCTTTGATTAGTTGAGTTTGTTTTTTTTAAATTATAAACTGAGTTTGAGAAGAAAGCGGAAACCAACCAACGTTTTTTAACTTGGTTGTAAATAACCTTCTAAATTCTTTGACAGTGGTTTTCTGTGACAAGATCTGATGGTTATATTATAGTTTTAAATAATTTATTTCTTTAATGATTTATTCAAGAAATAAACTATTTAAAACTATAATTCTTTGGTAATATAAACAATGTAAGTTAAATGCTATGTACATCACCATGTAAATATATTTTATATCTCCATCAATAAAAATTTTGCCTCTCCCACTTGACGGCCATTACATGTTTGTTCTTAATTAATTAAAAAAGTTAAATATCGTATAGCGGTTAGAATGAAATTGTTGAAATAGCGGTTAGAATGAAATTGTTATGACCTTTTGCTCTTAAATAGTTATTGGATAATTGGTAAATATTTTAAAATCACGTTGTAGAAAATACTTTTCTGAGTAAGGTTTTATTTTTGATGAAAAAAAATTTGTTATAAATTTTTAAGTTTTCATTTGTGTATTAAGATTTTTTTTATTATTTTGAAAAATGAACTTTAATTTTGAAAAAAAAAATCTTTTTTCAAAATTAAATATGGTGTTTAGGAAAAATATGTTGAAAAACGGAAAAGGAGAACTGTGGGGTTGAATGAAATACGCTTTTTATAAGTGAAGCAACAGCTCACTTCTTTAATTCGTTTTTTTTTTTTAAATCTCAAGTGACCAATTAATCTCCAACTATAAATTTTATATATTGAAAAAAAATTTTCAACGAAAGTTTTCTGAATTTAAATGAACGACTTTTACTGACTTTTATTAAATGGTTCTAATGAATGAATGAAATACGCTATTTACACTATTTATTGATATTCCTTGAGAGGAAAGATGAAATTACCATTATTCTTAAAAAAATATATATCTTTTTGTAATCTTTTGGGAGTAAAATACATTACACTGAAAACATGTTCAACTTGCGCAACGTTTCCCTAATAAAGTTTTTATAATGAGATAAATATTTTAAATACTAAAAATTTATTTGAAAATAAATAAAATTGATAGTCAAAATATTGGGTATCGGATCGTCCATAAAGTACCTACGCCAAAAATTTCAAAAAAAAATGGCCAATCCCCCTCCCCATGTAGTTATGCGTTCTTTTTAATCTCCTCCCCCCCTCCCCATC